TTGGGCTTACTTCGACATTTTCTGTGGGTTAGGCTGAGGATTTTAGTTACGAACGAGATGAGCCTTGAGGTTTGAAACAGTTCGTTAGTAAGTAGTATGCAAATGGAGAGATATATTCATTTTTAGTTACAAAGGTAACTTGATACTTTTGTTTTTCACAAGGAGTAAATTCAATTAGAGGTAAAAAGTTAAATTGCCTGTTAGAAAATAAGATGGCATCTACATTAATCTGGAGACGTGTCAGATTACTGTAGTTTGTTCAGTCAAACATTTTATGGCTTACTATTTAGCTATCTTACCATGACAGATGTAACATCGTATGTACATCATAAATTCCCAGTTTCTTTCTTGCTGTATATCGCAACCAAAGAAAACTTGTCAAATTTACCAAATCATTACTGTAAACAGCTCCATGAATGCTCCTATCTCCGAGACTTCACACACAAAAAATAACTCTTGCACGCCTTGCGTGTCTATGTTTAACTATGGCGATGCGATGTCAAATGTACGCATTGTGGACCTGTTTTTGATTTAGAGAGAATTTGGCTGGTTTACATTTATTCTCGCTGACACTCCGTGGAGTTGATACCTGAGTTTTCTCGTTGCGTTGCAGCACATCCACATTTTCTCTCTTGAAGAGAACGTGTTAATAAGTAGAGGACAGGAGCTCAATCATTTAAGCCGTGCACGAGTTTCGATAGCCTGAAAAAACGGAAAAAAAATTCGGCGAGCGCGAAACAGAAGAATTCGGAGAGCCAAGATTTATCTCGGCCAAAGAAATCGCTTGGGTTTTCAATGTCATTTTAAACTAGCTGCTTTTTCGTGTCGCACAGAGGGTCACCAACATATCAGTTTGCGCTTTTAAAGTGTTGTGGGGCAATGACGCCTACGAAGATTTTCGTGGTTTTTTTTCCTTTTTTTGTCAGGTTTATGTGTATAGGTAAAATATAAAGTTTAACTTTGGCTTTCACTTCATACAATTCCGTCTGTTTGTCTTGCTTTAATAGTAGGTTCCTTCTTTTTTAAACACACATGATTTTAACAATTCGTATGTGGACTTTTACTACAAGTGAAGCGTAAATTTTGATACTCTATTTCATCCCTACATTTATTTTAATGGTGTTAAAAAATCAATGAAAAGGAAGTGCGGAAATGGTATCCATAATTAAACAGGAGAATTTTGAGGATCCACAGCTACTTTGACAATGTTATGACAAAATTCATGATCAATAACAGGACAGACGCATGAAAAACTAACTTTAATTTGTTAAATGGAGACTTTGGCTCTCAAACTGACTTCGAAAGAGAAAACTGAACTTGAAGTTTTGCATTTTCTTGAATTAAAACGGATGCTTCACCTCAGGTCAAAACAAAATAGCACACGCTTGAGTATTTTTGCGAGGTTTGACATAAACTTTGTCGAGAATACTTGAGAATTTAATTGCGGGTTCGCCAAAGAAACGAATGAAAGTGAGATGTTTCAAATAGTTATTACCGTGTTATAAGTAGATTTTTAGCTAGTAATTTTGGTATTTACTGCTCAAACCTTTAGCGGATTCCGTGAAAATGGTAACATTTAATATCACCTCGTTAACCATTAAACTATGTCTTCTGTTCCATGCATGGTATAGACCTATTTTTTCTCTTCGCTACAATGGCGGGAAAGACAGTCACTAACAGCTTCGAACACTCACCTTTCCTTAAAGGCAGCCGGTTTCTCAAATCTCCTTCGCAGATTCTAACTCTTCCCATCACTAATTCTTCTCTTCTTCCCTCGTCTTCTTCTGATTCAAACTCTCTTCTGCCTTCTCTCTGTCTCGCGTTCTACGAAGAAAAAGAACCGTTATCATTACAGATGTTCCATCAAAACACCTTTGGACTTTGAAAATCATAAACAAGTACGAAGCTATAGTTTTTCTACCATGTAATACCTCTTTGAATTTGAAATCGTTCTCGTCTATTTTCCCTCTTCTATGGTCGCGTTCCCGTCGGCGCGACAAGCTTCCTCTCTCTCCTCCATCTATAAACCAAAAATAGAAGAACCGATTGGTTAAGGCAGGGATTAACATGAAGATTGTATTTTGGTTAGGTATTATTGTTTTAACGCAAATATCTCGTTCACTTTTGAAGAAGTCAAAAACCTCTCTGCTCATCCCACATATCTACGTTTTCGGCTGTGTGGTAAATTTTTCGGTGGTTTTAGGTGTATTTGGGATAAAAAGTTTTTCTTAAAGGATTAGTAAAATTTATGGAAATAGGAAATTTTGAAGGTTTGATGTTGTTTTAAAATTAGAAGTTGAAGTTAAAAATTGGTAATCGTACACCAAACAGTTGTACACCAACATGGGGTGCCCTTTTGAGGGGCGTTCAACTATCTGGTGGTGTTCTAAAACTTTTTTTTCCTTTTGATCCCTCTTTAGACTTCCTAAAACTTCACTTTAATTCAGGCAGACCCCCGCCTTAACTAAGCAAATTATCATTTATCAAAACGAATCGCAGTTTGTATACATGAATTGTGATCCCACGGTGAAAAGGAAGCAAACATTATAAAATAAAGACTGGCAATACCATCATTGCTCTCACCTGAATAACGGTGCATACACCTGCTTGTCATCTTTTTGTACAATCTACAATAGTCAAGAGTAGGAAAAAATAAAATATTAGTTTGAGACCATATGATGTGTCCGCAATAGGCCAAGTTTGATATATATATAATATTCTAAAATGACTCTAAGGCTTTCAGGACAAACTTCTATATTTGCTGGTGTTTTCTCTGTATCCAAGTCTCTTTTGGGGATCGAAGGACAAAAAAAAATTAAAAAACTACAAGTTTGACCCTAAAACCTCGGAGCCATGTTAAAATATTGATATTTCGAACGTGGCCTATTCAGTAATAGTGGGAGTTGTTTCTTTTCAGCTTCGGCGCCGGCCAGGGATTTTGCTTCTGTGCGTAATGAGGTTTTCCGGGATAGTTGACTGTATTTTCCAAAAGTGTCAGTCTTTAACTCTGTCCGATGCAATGCCACATGTGCGCGTGGTAGACCTGTTTTTGATTCCAGGCAAGAATAGGGCACTTGCTACTGGACGGCATAAGATTCACATTACATTGCTGACAAACTCTGGAGTTGTGACTTATTTTTATCGTTGCATCGCTACGCACTGCTCTCTCTTAAACGAGAACGCGGTAGTAGGTAAGTGGAGGTCATGAGTAAAATGAAAACCCGTCCATGCATGGGTTTCGTATTTGTCCGCAATCACTATGTACTATAACTTCATTTTTAACTAGGTCATCTTTCGCGCTCACCCTTGTAGGAATCTTCTCTTGCTATCGCTTGTCAGCCGAGCTGTTTTTCAGCGGAATTTCACCTGAAGCCGAGAAAAGATGTCGCGTGAGTAAATTCAATTCTGACTTTTCTGTAGCTTTAGAGACTGTGGTGTCGAAGGCTTCTTACCTTTATCCCATTTCAGAAACAAACTATGCTATTTTTCCCTACCCTGGGGCTGGGGGCTTTTTATGGGCCGTTTTCGGTTTCAGTCAAGTCTTGTGGCGTTGGCCTTCGACTCAAAGCATACTTTCACATACCATGAGCGAGAGAAAGCGTCAGATACCCTGCAGGTTAACCTATTCCGGGAGAGGCGCGGTGGCCTCATGATTAGTGCGCTCGTCTCCGGATCGAGCGGTCCGGGTTCGAGCCCTAGCCGGGGACATTGTGTTGTGTTCTTGGGCAAGACACTTTACTCTCACAGTGCCTCTCTCCACCCAGGTGTATAAATGGGTACCGGCGAACTTAATGCCGGGGGTAACCCTGCGATGGACTAGCATCCCATCCAGGGGGGAGTAGAAATACTCCTAGTCGCTTCATGCTACAGAAACCGGGATAAGCTCCGGCCTGATGAGCCACTTGGCTCGTATGTAGACTTTACCTAACCTATTCCAGACCAGACCGACGACAATGCAGGCCCTAATCAGAAACTGCTTCTAACTGTATCGGTAACGATAATGTGTTTGATCATCTCAGTTCTCGTTCAATGTGTTTTGCTTATAGGTAAACGCCTAAGAAACGTTTCATTTGTGTAGCAGATTTTAACGTCAAACATTTTTCAGACTAACAATTAAGGGACAGTTCTTATTACAGAAACCGGGATAAGCTCCGGTCTGATGGGCCACTAGGCTCGTGTGCAGACTTACCTTTTTTCTAATTAGTGATATAAAAGTTTTGTCATTAAGCAAGTGTAGTGAAGCCCAAGTTTACCCCTAAAAACGGTTCCAAGCTCAGTAAAACAAACGTTCGCGTCTTCGTTAGTTTCATTGGTACTAGTTTTATTTGGTGTTATTCATTTATCCGTTATTTTACTACGTTCCCTCAATATTTCATCTTACCTTGTCTCGCGCGTTGATCAATATATCAACTCGGTGGCGTGCTTTCAGTTCAACAATACATCTAACGTCTTCATCATGTCTTCGATGTCTACAATGAGTCTTCAATACCTCATAAGATTGTATCATCGACTTTGACGGTCCTACAGCCGTTAAACTTGCTTTATCAAAAGATCTTTTCTCAGTCGAAGGAGCCCTGAACCAGTTCAGAATACGAGGAACTTGAGAATAAAAGGCAAATGATGCGTGCATTTTCGCAAGTGGAGATGTTTGCGTGGTGATGGGATACCTGGGCTGAATTAATTTTGTTACCCCAGTAATTTATAAATATCGACCATAATTCGTTCCGTTATTTAATAGCGGAAAGAAAAAGAAAAAAACAAAACAAAAAGAAAGAAAGAAAGAAAGAAAAATAAAAGAACCAAGCGTGGAACTCCTGATTTCATTCATGTTTCATTGAACAAACTAGTTAAACAGTACAACGGGAAGTTGACTGCCAGCAGTCTCTCTCTTTTCTTAACGTGCGACCAATTTGTTTCCTGGGGCCCGTTTGTTTGACCAATTTGTTTCCTGGGGTCCGTTTCTCGAAAGCCCTGGAAACTTTCCGGGCCCGTAAAGCCATTTTTAGTTCATCTGTATCTAAAAACAGAGAGGTGTATACGCCTGAAACTTCTTATATGAAGAAAACCTCTGTTCATATAAAGAATATGTGAATAAAACAGCTCTGTAATCATGAGGTTTGAGATTTTGCTATGGGTTTCCGGGTGCGAAAACTTTTCGGGACCTTCGAGAAACGGGCCCCTAGAGTGCCACGAGGGATCGAGCGCGAGCCGCGAGAAGCACGACCGCGGAGAAAAAGGAAAAAGAAAGTTTTTTCCCCACCACTCCCCTCTTTCTTTTCCTAATTTGCATAATCTCAGCAGAGTATTTCAGGAACAAAAACTGCCGAGGTGTAAATAGGGGGAATATTACTGTTTTAGGGAGAGCGAAATGTGCCAGAAAATTAACGTACGATATTAAGGCTACACTGCTGCAGTTAGCTTTCTCTCTTTTATCCTTCCGAACGCAAACCCGTGGTATAGGCAAAACGGGATCTGAGGGCAATCTCCCCGCACCCACTTGTCGTGTCTCTCGTACCGATCCTCGCTCTTCTTAAACGACTCGCCCAGTTCGCGTTTACTGATTTTCTAGAAAAAACGGCTTGTAAGCAGTCCAGGGAAAAATAACTTCACAACTGAAATTTCTGTCTGTTGTGATAATGCAACAACTGTCAAATTTTCTTCCTACGGGCGCCGTTTGGATTTCCGACTTGAAAGGCTCCCTCATCCGTTATAAGGTATCTTAAGTTTTTAATTAATTTTAAGCAAATATTTTTCATCTCAAACATTTGCAAAAATCTCTAGACATTACTTAGAGATAAAACACCCGACATTGGTTATAAGGAGGAGCAACTTCTTTCACGAAAGTAGTGGAGTTGGCTTTGAGTGAAGAAACGATTCCTAACGGGCAGAAAAAGGCAAATAGCGAGATAACAGGATTAAACTAGAGCACCAAACGCAACCCAATAAAAATGTTCGTCATTTATTTCAATTTCTTAAAAAAATATATCTGGTACTTCTTTATAATTATTTCCAACCGTAGAGAATGCAAATGAAAATATTTAATTACAGTTCATGGTTTCTGGTGATTACATCCTATTGGTAAATTCTCCAACACGTGGGAAGGTAAATCACGCAGCCTTGATAGCATTGCTGATCTTTAATGTCACGCAATCACGTTCACAACACTATGTTCATGATCCCAGCGTGACCTAGCTACTCCGTTAGGTTGCTAGCAAACTCCACGGAGAAGGTAGAGTCGTCCATTGTAGAAGAGCAATCAGTAGTTAAGACACATCCGGTTATGAGTTGAGTCCAAATTCAGGCGTCTGAGAGTGTGGTGTTTAACTCTGCGCCTCCTTCAGTGTAAATGATGCTGGCCTAGAGGGAGGGATGAGCGAGCGAGTAAGGAGCACCTCAATTCAAAAGGTACCGCTAGGAAAAGGACGTCGCAAGTTAGTGACACAATACAAAACATTTGCATTTGTATGACGAGTAAATAGTAACTGTTTAGTGCGAAACAGAGTCCCCTCCCCCACCGCACACTTTCCGACATAATTCCCACCCAAGCTGAAGAAATTAGTGTCCAAACTGCAAACAATCACGAGCGGTTTTCTCCGACTATTTATCCTCAAACCAGAACCAAAGTGTAATTGCGTCAAGTTCTAGATGAGCACAACTCGTGCAAATGCCAGAGTGAGCCAAACAGAGCTCGCAGAAAACCACGTCTTGCAACAGGTGAAAAACGCGGGAAAGCGGAGAACCCAATTCATGGTTGGTTTTTGTTTTACCTGATTGGCTGAGAAAACCAGATGTTCGTTCTTATTGGTCAGAATTGATTTGACGAGCCTTTTGAGCCCATAGTGTGGCTCAGTAATTGCAAAAATCAAAACAAAGAGAGATCACTTTGGACAGTCAAGCGAAAACTGCTCTGTAGTTAGTGGAGGCCATCAGTGTCTAGCAAAATACAAGCCATGCAAAGTTAGAATGCAGAAGACATACACAGCATTAACAGCACTTTTCCAACATTAAGTCCTGCAACTAGACCGCATTCAACCGATATCTTACCTAATATATCAATTACACTGGCACTAGAGAACGCACGGATGATGCAAGTTTCCTTTTAGCAAGTATGAAAGAAGCATCGTGACCTTATTATATATGATCCCGCCCAAAAATAACGCAACCAAGAAAGTTTTTAAGCAACCCAAGCATATGCTGGCCCACCATGCAAGCTTTGCTCTCGACCAACAAAGTGTGTAAGTAAAAGAACCCCAGCGAAGACATTTACTAACGTCGCCTCACCCCACCCTCTCACAGTGTGCACCTCGAGATCTGTGTTGGGCGGCAATTTTAAGTAATTTTAATTTTCTGAAAATTCACCTTCCAAACACCTTTCCCCTTACTGCAAAATGTCGCATCAGGACGATTTACAAGCATTTACTGAGTAAAGAGCTTAAGTAACAAGTCCAAGGTAAAAAAACTGTGAAAAACGTACCCTCTCCTCAAGACCGGAGTTCTTTCGTTTTTTCTGAATCAACTGCGGAAAAAAGATAAACTTGTACGTGTATTACAAAGTTAGACAACAACTGTTGACAACTGTTGCAGGGAACGAACCATTTCCTTATATTTTATCAGAAAGCCTTTTTTAAGGAAAAAATTGACACTCAGTGCACCAGCAAACATTTGCTGTTATCTTCACCAGAAAGAAGCTAACTATGTCGATCCGCAATGAAGACCTCCTGGCACATAAGTCTTGAAAGGAACTCGAAGTTTTTCCTTAGATGTTACTGTTTACTCAATGACTAACTTGGTTTCGTATCAGAAGCCCGTTTCCCGCAGTAATGAATTGTTTTTTTAAAAAAATCTTCGCAGCCTGGAGATATCACCTCCCAAATCGCTTGCTCAACTTCCCTCTCACGCCTATCATCATAAGTATGTTCAAATACGAAACTGTATTTTCAGCCTCCATCTGCTGTTATAACGTGCACAGAAGGTTTGAACACCAAATGAATAAAACAGACTCACCTTAAATGTTACAAGTGCTACAGCAACTACAGCCAAAGTGCAGAAGACAGCAATGAACGCCACACCAATGACGGAAACGCCTTTCCCCGCACTGTCATCTTGTTGTTTAGAGACAGTTTTTTCCTCGACATACATGGGTGAGGCCAACATGACGTTGGGTTCGGCGACCATGGCAATACCGCTGAACTGGATTACCAGGTCGTGTTTGCGAGCCTGGAAAGAAGCAATGGTACAGAGTTGAGAATTAAGAGTTGATAAATTTCTAACACCGAGGCATTTTACCAATTGCTGTGGTAAGTGAGGGCATTCTCCAACTTTACTCCCACTGAATTCTGTTTACCCTTAGGGAAAGTGTTCATTACGATTGGAGTCGGTCACAGATCGTCAAGTCAACCTTTAAAAACTGTTGCTACTTCAGTTTTTCTCAATCGATTACGGAGAATCTATGTCTGATAATGTTATGAAGATGGCAATTTTTTTCTCATCACTCCCCCACATAGCCCAACCTTTTCAGTGATATCATCAGCAAATTCACTCAGATCTCTTCCTCCGCTGTATGGCTCAACGCTGAATCCAACCAAGATGCTGCCCTCCTGCACCTAAGTTAAGACATCAGAAAGAAAAAAAGTTGAAAAAACTTCTCCTGGAACGTCTCATAAAAATAACTCTCTAAAAAATAGCAGTTCGAGAATAAACTAACACTTCTAAATTAATTTGATTTGGAAACAGTGGACGAGGAGCCTCCTCGTGGATGTGCCACTACAAATACATGTAGGCCATTTCAGAGTTGCCTTTTGCCTCCGTGGCAAAACGAGTCTTCGTGCAAAACCATTGATATGAAAATGTGTTTCCCCTACAGGTTCAACTTCATGCAAATCACACTAATTTTCAAATGAAGCGTTTTGCACGGGGACTCGTTTTGAAAAAAAAAAAAAAGACAAGCAGCAGACGTAGCCCTGATCCACCAACAAGTTGAAACGCAGTTACCTCGAGGGCTTGTAGCTGTTCGTTCTTCAGTTTAAACATGTTAATTATCTGTGACTTGAGAGATCTAGAAATGAAACAAAAAGAAAGGTAAGATGGTTTTTAACCAGCCCTAGAAATGTTGCAAAACAGCAACAGTCAAGTGCTTGCAATACAAGACTGTGCGTACGATTCTTTGTGCGGCTTTTAAGGTTATACACACTTTGCGAGCAGCTGGCACACTCACTCTTTAAATTTGCTCGTAACATTCTTCACTAAACTGAAGCTGTAATTGAATGTGAGCCCAACATGGATACTCCTGCGTGAAGATAAAAAAAAGATGGAGATCAGAGCAGATTCACACCTGTTAATGACATGAAAACACATTGCCTTAAATTACTAACGCTATAAAAGGGAGGTAAAGGAATTGTACTTACAAAAGTTGTGGACCTGGAAAGAAAAGAAAGGAAAGAAGATTGTATCACATTTTTCAAAGTATGACAAATATAACTAAACTTGCCATGGCTCAACAAGGGATATTCCCTGTGAAAGCTGCTCGTCAATCTCGGAGAATTGACTTTGACGACATTAGATGTCATCACACCGTTCCCACCTCTGTGAATATTGTTTTGGGGATGTTGAGTCTTCACAAACCTATGTGAGCATAAACAGGGGATAACATCTGACGACAGTGGAGAGGGAGGGTATATTTATCGCATTTTAGTACAGTGTTGTGAAGCCTGTGTTCACTTCAACCCATTCATTTAGCGTCTGTGGAGTGAAAGGGGTATGTACCAAGGTATTTTCTGCAATGACAGTCATCTTTTAAATTTAGCACTAAAACTGAAATAGAGAAGGTAACAGGGAACTGCCTCGCTTTGCACTGTATTCAACATCCAGCACAACAACAAACCTTGGTTGACATCACAATTGGGTTTTCCTCTTACTCTAGTCCCAGGCCATTCCGTTCCATCCTCTGACACACACCAGCAGTATCCAGTGGAACCCCAGCACTGCACACGCGCATAGCTGCCATCAGCGTTACACTCAGGAATGAAAGCTCCAATACGCTGGGGATGTGTGGCTTGATAGGCTTTCTGTTGACATTCTGTGAGACCTACAGATCAACATACAATGTAAGAAACACAAGTACACCCATAGTCTATGTTTGCCCAACTATAAGAATCGTCAATCTTTGGTTTAGTTCATGCTACGTTAAATTCGTGTCAGTTGTCTACTGAGTAAATTAAGAGAACCTTACACTGTATTTCACGGTTATCAAGCACCCCGGATCGACAGTAAATCCCTCAAAGACCCCAAGCCAACAACACTTTAGTTAGAGGCAGAAGAAAATTGTTTGGCAAAGCTCCCAAAGTAATGGTCTGTAGGCTAACAGATTATGCAGATTTCGATTTAGAAGCATGATATTATTGTTTAAGGTTTTAGTCATTCCCTGTCTACTGTAGACATTCAATTGATAGTTACTCTGTGCTTTAGGCCCGCCTAAACAAGAAGGAATTCACAATACAGAGTTCAGTGTTGTAATAAGTTTTTAATAGTTTTTAATAGATTTAACATGGACTCCCAATAGTTACTATATAGTTAGTAGGCTTTTAATAATTTATTATGTCATTAAGTCCCCCCCAGTTAGTAGCGGGGTATTTCCCCTCGGATAGCTAAGACTGGCACGTTAATAAAGTATTGATTAATTAATTGATTCAAATATGAAACCACCGCACGGAACACTTAGTAAACAAGAGTATAATGAGAACATAACTGTACCAGTGTCTCACAACATTCAACACTTCATTCTCATTTCTGATGCCAACTCAACTTACACTGCACTTCCCTCCCCATGTTGTCATAGAACTTTGGTTTACAGGCATCGGTTCCACATCCTCCCACAGGTGCCACACATTTAGCTTCAGGGTTTTTGGTACAAGACGCTTTCTTACAAGCATCGGTGCATAGTTTCCACGGTGTGCCGTCATCACATGTAGGGCCGATACTAAATGCCATTGCACTCGCCTCGCCTAAAACAAACAACAAATACTAAATAAGCATTATCAAACAGTTGTTTTGTTAATTACATCAAACTACATTTCCTTTTCTTTCTAATGTCTTCCGTGCGTCTTAGGTATGTTGCAATCAAAATTCAATTTTAAGTCAAATTGATTTGACACAATTTTGATTTGTACTTTCTTTGTCCTAGGGGTAATAAATCTGGGAAAATGGAACTTAAAAAACCTTCTTACACAAACAAACATTTCTTTACTTGTTCTATTTGTGCTATAAAATCTCTCCATTCAATTTATTCAGTTGTACACATGTATTTGGTGGCATTTGTCAATATAAAATGGAAATTAGGAAAGTGATAAAGAACTTTTGACGAAGAAACTTCCTATGAGATTAGACTTTATGAGCTAATGGGTATTTAAAGAAATTAAAACTCACACTTTGGTTGTCCCCTGATTTTGGTGTTAGGGATTTCTTTTCCATCTTTAGTTACACACCAGCAGAAGCCAGTAGAACCATGGCATTGCATGGCGGCATACGAACCATCAGCCCGGCATTTTGGAATGAACCGCCCAACTAGTGCAGGGCCACTCGTTGCCTCTAAATACTCTCTCTGACATTTAGTCACGCCTGTCAGAAAATACAATTTTGTCATAGTTAACTTATGAAGGACAAAGTAGCACGTGTTTGCACTCACAAAAAGAGCAGAGTGATTTTGAAGTAAAATCAAACACGAAAGACTATGTTTTACTACAATTCTGAATACGAAGAAGAAAGTTGACAACATGACTCAGAGAAGAGTAATTTTGACGAACTTCGGCGTTTGGAAATGTGGCGAAACACTGTCCACGTGTATCTTGTCAATTAAAACTAAAAGCAAGGAGAAAACTAAGAAATAAAATCGTAAAATTCATTGCCTATTTAGATCCAATATCCAAACTAAAAAGGATATTAATATTATCATAACAAAACAGAACATGGCATAGAGTTTACATTCTAATTCTCCTCCCAAGCTTCTTGTCCATGTTGTAGTTAAAACTCAATTATAGACGTTCAAAATGACTTCGAAATAGTTTGATTTGTACTTTCTTTGTCTTATAATAATTATTACTAATTACTAATTGTTATTTAATTAATCTAGTCATATGCATAAGCGATAAATGGCCCGCCTAGATTAGCACTTGATATCCGCGGGCCTAATAACATGCAATTTTACAATGAAAGAAAATATGGAAGTAATTATCTAGAAAAATAGAAACTACAAAACCCACTAACACCAACTATCATTTTTAAATTGTTTTACATGTTAAAGATTGAAGTGCAGCCAGGATGAGACATACCTGTAATCAAAATTAAGATAAAAACGTTCGCTGGCCAAAAATATTTCAAAACAGAACATGAGCTTTCGGCTGTCAATCTACAGACTTCGACAGATAAAAATGGATCAGGAAACTCCCTTTAATTTGAGATCACGCTTTACGAGGCAAAGGGTATATAGCCTGTGAACAGACTCCACCTGGAAGGGTCCGACTGTGGCTGGAAGAGCCAAGAAGGAACTGGCTGAGAGTGAAGTGGCCAAGGGGGAGGGGGGGCGGAAGGGGGAAATGGTGAAATGGTGTGGGTATCCTCTTTTGTCCCGCTTTCTCTTTGCCCCATTCTTGACCACAAAGCCTGTTCACAGGCTAATGGGCATAGTGAGACTTAGTATACGATGTTACAATCAGTTGTTATCACTCTTATCAATTTACATGATAAGTAACCTGATTTAAAGAAATTAAAACTCACACTTTGGTATTCCTCGGATTTTGGTGTTAGGGATTTCTTTTCCATCTTTAGTTACACACCAGCAGAAGCCAGTAGAACCATGGCACTGCATGGAGTCATATGAACCATCAGCGCGACATTTTGGAATGAACCGCCCAACTAGTGCAGGGCTACTGGTTGCCTCTAAATACTCTTTCTGACAGTTGGTTGCACCTGCCACAAAATGTGAAAACGTGTCAAGAACACTTGTTAAGAACACAGGTAGCACACTGTCTCGTGTTTGATATTGTATTTCATAAAACACTAAAATAAACTTAACTAACCACAGAGCTCTAATAGTCTAGATGAAACTGACGCAACAGAAGATTAAGATGTGTAAAAAAGATACGACCTCATTGGCTTATAGTCTAAGCAGTTCGGCTGGAAAAGAAAAGTTTGGCATGAAGTCATCTGGTGTACAAGTGTAGTAAGTTCCCTGCAGAATGACCTAAAGCCAAATATTTTTCTGTCCCCAGGGTGACGCGATTCAGTCAATATCATCTATATTGAGCTTCACTTTGTTGGAATGTTGTGGAAATTTATGCCTTGGTGAAAAGACTGAATTGTACATTCTAAATAAAGACCTGTTGTTTCTGCAGTGTCTGGACCTACACATAGTACATCAGCATACACTATTGTTTTCTACAGGACTGTGCCAGAAGACCTGGACAATGGCAATGATAGTCTCTTTTCTGGCTTGCTTTTTACCATGGCTTAGAAGTGGACATACTTACTCGCTGCACAATCAACTAAGTTGTCATTGTCATCAAAGAACTGAGGTGTGCATTGCCCACAGCTGTTCGCACGGCACTTGGCTTTAGGGTTGGCCGGGCAGCTTGATCCTTCACAGGGATTGGCCAGACACAGCATGAATGGGGCACCACGGGGGCAAGCTAAAGAAGAAATGCACAAGTGGAACATGAACTTCAGAAATAAGAGTACCTATCATTCTTGTGAATTCAGAAGCTGGCAAGTTGGAATATGTGACCAACCATCCCAACTTCTGGCTTGTACAATTATATGTACCCATCAGTACTGTAGAATTCCGAAAGTAACCCCCTCCCCCCGAAAATAACAGCTCCCCGAAAGTAGCGGCCCTTTGAAGAAGTCAGTAAAAGAGAAATTCTCTGTTCTCAATTGCAATGTGGATGGAACACCCTGACTGCAGGACTGAATAACTCTAATAGTTATTTGTGATTTTATTTCGAACTTCGAACTTCTTGAAACTATGATTTATAAGTTGTATTTGTCTAGCAGAAGAGTCAAATGACATACCATAGGGTAATCAGTTGGATTGCGAAGTAATGCGCCCATTATAGTTTCGGCCTACAGTACTAACATTAAGGACCTTTTTTTGTTTATCAGTCTGCTTTGTTCATGTGGGTTGTGAGAACATACAGAAGCGGAACTTTTAATTTCTTGTGTTACGCCGGTCCGAATTTTTTGAAACAACTGTTACTGCGCAAACGTTTTACAACCATCCGAAAGTAACGGCTACCCGTAAGTAACAGCCCCTTATGCCCGCTAAATCTGAAAGTAACGGGAGCTGCTACTTTCGGAATTCTACGATATTTAGTCATTCACAAGCTCTCCTGAGAATTCCACGATAATTAATGATTAAGAAGCTGAGCTTTGTTTTAGGATAAGCCGCGAGACCAGGGTCTCCCAAGTATGTGTAAGTACAAAGCAGCTGCATAGCTAAATAAGTATAGAATGCCGAAGAAGAAGAAGAAAATACTGCTCATGACGCATCAAGTGCAGTAAAGTAAAAAATAAAAAATAAAAAAATAAGTCCTGTATTCACCTTGTCGCACAGGAGCACTGCAGATACGACCACAGCCGTTACTACAACATTTCGTATTTCCCTGACAGTCACGATCTGAGCTGCATTCACTTGTGCAAATACCAACATGATGGATGTCAACTGCTGGACAGTGACCTGGCTTGGCTGAAGGACAAAACAAAAACCACGAAACCGTTTTCTTGTGAGAAACTATTGATTGGCTATTCTTTGTAAACAGCTTGCAACTTTCAATTAACAAGGATGACATGTGGTGGTCGTTCATGTAAAGTTTATATCCTACATTTTCCTCTCAAATCAATTTAAATTTGTTAGAGCAATTTGCCAGTTTCAGTTTGGATTTTTATAGGATCTTGTTTCCAGTTTTCTTTCATGTTAAATGATATCACCCCAGAGTTCAACGAGGGAGAAAACGAATGCACAACAAACGTGAACTGTTCTCAACAGACTGCTAAACTAAGCCACACATAGTGTGCTTCAAAACTTGGAACTTGGAGAGCAAATCGAGAATTGAGACTTGTAAGTTGCTTCAAACAGGGTTTATAAGCATTAGCCTGTAGTATTTATTTAGCTGCATTCCTGCAGGGTTCAATGAGAGAATAAACAAACTATGACCATCAGCAAGAAGAATGTTAATCGTCTTGATGCATCGCGCAATTCTCAGACCTAACATTAACACACCTTTGTATTCTGGGGCAGTACAGACATGACCGCAGCCATTGGAGCAGCACTTCTGGTTTCCTTCACAATCATCATCATTACCGCATTCTTCTTCACATGTACCAAGTTGATCTGATTCAACAGCTGGGCAGAAGCCAGGTTTGGATGGCGCCTCCTTACACTTGCACATATCACAGCCATCTGGACCCTTAGCCCAACCAAACTCACAGTACATTCTGCACAATACAGGGTCACACACTGAAATGGCAAAAAACAATTTTAACTGCTACCTAACAATCGCATAGTTTTTCAGTCAAAGAATGCTAGCTGCAACTTGAGGAAACTTGAAATTTAATTGTGCAAGACCCCGATCTGCTGAGGTTGTAATACAGTGGTACATGTACCCTAGGGGAAACATCACCTAGCCTTAAATTAAAATAAATGGGGCCTTTAAGGTTTTGTGCCATCTTTGGTGCACTATACACAGCAAGTCTATGTACTGCACAGTAACACTAGTAAACCCTACAGACTTGGTTAGCAAAGTATGCAGGAGTGAGCCAACTTGTTTCCTAGACTGTGAAAATTGTACAGGATGCCTGTCATTTTTAAAGCTGCAGAAATGTTTGGGTCAATGTTTTAAAAAGTATACATTACTTTTTTATATAATAAAATGAAAATGTGTGATTCCAGAAAATATCCATATCCCCACCATGGAGGGAATTGGAAATTCCGGAGAGGAGAGGGGGTCAAAGACTTAGGAAATTCCGAAGGGAAGGGGGGGTTGGACGATCGATTTAGTTTCCAGAGGTTAGTTTCCAGAGGTGTTTGTGGCCTTATGCTCCACTCTCACAAAGGAGCGAAGAGGATGAGTGTGAGTTTCCAGAGGTCGTTCCATTCAATACGGATTCAAGTGTGGATCTAGTTGTTCAAAAATCCTTTCTTACCCACTAAGTACATCTTTCACATGAAAAAATGGTGGCTTGAATACTTGTATTTGAATCACATTAGTATAGGTAATCATATGGTTTCAAGTTCAATTTGGAATTACTTTGCATGAGTGAGATTTTCAAAAGCTGAAATTGCACAAGCTGCTTTGGCGAGTGCAATTAAAATTTTCAGCTTTCTGAAAAACTCACAAGTGCAAATTAATTCCAAATTGAACAAGAAAAACCATATGATTACTTATTAATAATATGAAAATGAAAAAAATTGTGTGGAGGAAGTGCCGGAAGACCTTTCTTGAAGCCATTTTTCTCATTCGAGAAAACTTTTTTCAAAGTTTCCACACAAAATTTTCCTCATTTTACGTAATAACATTGGCTTCAAAAATTTCTTATTTTCTTTCAGCCAATCATAATCCAGAATTATGATGTCTATTTTTTCCAGAGGGTATGGGGGTGTACAAAATAGAAGAGGAAATTCTGGAGGGGTGGGGGGTTATTTTAGTGGTCAAAAAATTCCAGGGAGGGGTGGGGGCTTACGTGAAATTACCTCTGTTTTGGGGGTATAGATATTTTCTGGAACTACACAATATAATTTGTGAGGAAAGGCTGAACCAAGATTGAGTGCCCTTAGTTTCTCATGATCTAAAGCTGAAAACTTCTTTACAAAGAAAGCAGTAATATGATTCAACAAGGATGGCTAAGACTGAGGAAGATTAAAATGGATTAGAAACAACAAACTTGAAATAATTGGACAATATTTTCAAGACACACCCTATGTAACTAGTTCCTTTAAAATTCAGTTTATCACATGACTGTACCATTTATCATATGACTGTACCATTTATCACATGACTGTACCTTTAGTGCAGCTTGGTCTTCCCCTGACTTTTGTTCCTTTGATCTCCCAGCCCCGTGTATTAACACACCAACAATAACCAGTGGAATAATGGCACTGAACTTCCTCAAAGCTGCCGTTCTTCTTGCATTGTGGCACATAACGACCAAGCAGTTTCTCACCTTGGTATTGAAAAAGTTCAAGAACCTCAGCATTGGCAGAGTATTATTGTATTTTACAATAACTGCAGCAATTCGCGTACACTCATTGGCTAATTTTCATTGTCAATAAGCGGACAGACACTGACAGACACATGAATTTATAATTTATATGATGCATCAATGAGCGAGAGCAGACAATTTGACAGTTTGTTATTGTAAGATACAAATTGACGTCAGATAATTAATATAATATACTCTATTCTTTATTTTTCATTTTATTTGAATTTATTTGTCATTTTTGCATCTTTTGTTTAATTCTGTGCCGCAAGGATTTCAAATTCTCATGTCCCAAATATGTCATTCTTACTACAGGGAGTGATCTACACATCAAGAACAAATACTGGTCAGTAACAATATGTTCTGCTTGTGTGTGTAAAGTGTTTACAATTATTTATCTATTTATTAAAGTTATTACAAGTTTAACAGCATCAGCTTCCCTATATTAAAATAATAACTGTTACCTGGGGTTTTGAAAAGAAAAAAGAAAAAAAAAACACAACTAGCTGGTGAGAAGTGGTTAAACTCCACAAAAGACTGCAACTGGCAGGACCCAAAATTGATGTTCAAATTAAAACAACTGTCAAGATAACTGCATAACTGCAGTTGAACCCCCCCCCTGCAATCTCAAACTCTTTAAGGGAAATGAAAAATAGTTCAAGATGTCAGAAGTTCAAGATAGTTGACAGTAAGTGAAAATTTAATTTAACATCCAAGAGAGAATGATTTGAGTTTGAGAGGGCAGTGAGTTCAAGGTAACATTATTTTTAACATACCACTTTGTAGCCTCTGCAACTGACACAATGTGAGATCTACAAAGAAATTCAAACAAAGTTAAGGTCAAGCTCTAATGACTTAAAAATTCCCATGAGGGCACTTGGTATGAGGGCGTTACTGGGAGAACATCAACACTACATGTGTCGTACAAGTATGGATCAATGAACTCCGCAAGGTCTATATAGAAAAGACTACATACTACATGTACTTGATAAAAGAGTCTAGTGTACAAACCGTAAGGTCACTGTACATGTACACTGTACCTCCTTCAAATTGTACTCCACTTGGAACCAAAATGAAATTGTTCAAGAATTAAGGTTTAAAAATTACCGCTCTTCAGTTGTGCTGCACATGTAGGTTTCTGTAAGTGCTTCCTTGTGCCATTCACTTCCTTTCCATCTGTATCAACGCACCAGTAGTAGCCTTCATGGAACTGAACTGGTTCAAAGCTTCCATCGCTTTTGCACTTTGGAACAAACTCACCAAGAAGGCCAGTTGACAGCTTTTGACGTGCTTGACATGGAGTTAGACCTATTGCATAAGGGAAATGGAAGACATTACTAAACAATTCCTTCAAAAATAGTGATCTTATCGCAGCAAACAAGGAAGTAACCCAGACTGCTTTCTTTGTTAATACAGTAGAACCTTCCATAAGCAACCACCCAAAATTTTAAGTCTAGGTGGTCGCTTACGAGAGCTTAGACCACATTGGGTCAAAATTTTGCCTCATTGGCATATGGTAACTGAAGAGACTTACACCATGTTTTAAATGTCTTATTCATGTGAAAAGTCGATTTTGAGAAAAAATCTGATACTTCCCATTGAGAAATTTCCGTCTCTAATGCAATAACATTACAACACCTTATTATCCAATTTACACTTTATTATCTGTTAAGTGGCCACTTACAGGTAGTTAAAAACAAAAGAAAATTTCAAACTTTTAGCTCCAAAGGTGGTCACGGTCGAGGTGGTCGGTTACATGTACAAGAGGTTCCAAATATAGTGACTTGACTTGGAAACTTTTGGTATCTTTGAAAACTGGTCGCTTACAAGGGGTGGTTGTAACTGGAGGTTCAACTCTATTTATTTTAATAGTCAAGAGTTCAAGATGCAGGGCTCGAAAAAAGTAGGTTTTCCCTTCGGGCAAGTAACTTTCTCTCCTTACTTGYCCCACGGGCAAGGACCCAGGCAAGCCGTTCGCCGACTACATTTTTGATGACAATTTTGAGAAGAAAAGGTAAATTTTAGGCTCAAGGGTAATCAAGTGTTTAGATGAAGCTTGACGAAAATTACAATTTATAGCGTTGTTTTGTTGATTGTGTGACGTGCACTCACGGCTCAGAAGTGGTTGCCTAGTACGTGATCAAAATCTTGATCAAATTTCTTTTCGGGATTGAAGGTAACCGCGTAGGGCACGAAAACGCTGTGTTTATTTCTTAAAATTTTAGCAATTTTTTGTAAGCATTTTCCAGTTTCCCTGTACAAAACTTAACTCAACAACAATATATTAAAGCGGTAGAAATTGTTTGCAAAAAGAAGCCACATATTTCTATCACGAAAACGAAGCCAGCATTTTTGATACTAATAAATCTCTGTTTTCGGCGAAACATGCAAGTTTGCTAGTGATAACATACTTGGGCACCGCCGCGCGAAATGAAAAGTATTATATTATTAAAAAGAAATGAATAAGTAAGTCATCAAAATACTCTCAGAGTTCCTGG